TTTTGATATCGCAACATATGGATTGGGTGTTGCCGAGGCATATGGAGGACACGTTAAAGGCGTGGAGGAGAAAGTTTCGAGATAAGGATAGCAAACTTGTTTGGGGCCTTATTCCGGGATGCATCGTTTGGTGTGTGTGGAGAGAAAGAAACAGTCGCTGTTTTGAAGACGAATCACGGACAAGAGAGCAGATTAGGGAGTTGTTTTATTTCACTTTGTATTCTTGGTTTAATGCTGCGGCAACTAGGCATATAGTAGGGTTGCCTAATTTCATGATGTTTCTCTCTGATTTAAAGTGATAGTACACTTCCTGTATATTATGCTTTTTATATAAAAATTTTGATTACCTTTCAAAAAAAAAAGCTTTGTATTGCTATGGTCAGTTGAATAGTTATACCAGTCGAGATCTATTGAAGTTTTCAAATTGCTTGAATATAGAAATAATATGAAATTCAATTGTTGGATGTATGCTGACCTAGATCAATATAAATTCCATCTTGGATGTGTGGTTCTCAGGGTGTGCATCGGATGCAGTGTGATAAGTGTTCCACACACAGGCCTCCAAGGGCTCATCATTGCCGTGTCTGCAGAAGGTGTGTTCTGAAGATGGTGGGTGCTAATAGATTTTTTTTCCCCATATATATTGGATAAATAACTTTGTGAAGGTATTATTAATTTGCATCTAATTTTTTCTCTGTACAAAAAAATAAAATAAAATAAAATTGGCGCAGGATCACCATTGTATCTGGATTAATAATTGTGTGGGCCATAGAAACTACAAGTCGTTCCTCGTCTTAATCTTTTATGCAACTGTGGCAAGCACCTATTCTGCGGTAAGCTTAGGTCAGTCCTTTGTGCCTTGATTTTTTCAATTTGGACTAGCTGATGTTATCTCTTTTCCATTCTCAGACTATGATCATAAGCTGTGTACTTCAGAATGATTGGGATTCTAGTCGAAGCCTTCCTCTCAAGATCTTTTATGTAAGTTGGCAGTAAAACATTTGCCATTGTCTTTTGAATGTCTAGTCTACTAAAGGTGTAAAGATGGTTGGTCCGCACAGGGTCCAACTCTTGGGGCTCTGGGGCTGCATGTTGCATGGCAGGCCTATTAATCTAAAAGAACAAAAAAAGTGTCTTGGAAATGGATCAATTCTGCATTAAGCCTGGCACGCCAAAAAAATTGGGTCGTCCCTGGCCGTGTCACATTTTGATAGTCCTATTAATACTTGTTTGAACTTTTTTATGTTTTCCGAGTAGAAGAGTAGATTTGTTCTTGTTCCAATCCTGTTGAGTACCAAACGAAGCCCAAGATTTATTAGCATTCCAATCTTATGTTGAGATTAATTTTGTGAAGTCTCCAACATCATATAATTTTAGCCTTAGGACGTGTGAGTTAAAGAATCATTCCTTAGAAGCTGATAATTGACATCTAACATAATTATGTACCTCTTTTGTTATTAGCAACTTGTGAAACAATTTTGTATTTTGATCAACTTGACCATAGCTAGATCAAATCCATATGTATCATGAAAACTCATGCTTAAAGCTATTCGATAATTTTATATCATGCATTCCTTTTGAAGCAGTTACTTATACTTTGCATTCATATGGAAATGTTTTGAAAGAAATCTCTGTTTCGTAATAGTGTATGGCGTGTGTTCTTGGCTAACCGTTCATCAAATCTTCTCGCACATGATAAAATCTTCTTCATTTATTTGTTTCTTTTTCAATTGAGATTGTCAAGTGGTTCCGAAAAATCTGATAAACTATGCATTTCAGGTTGGTTGTGGAGTAATGATTGTTGGGTTAAGCCTAACATTTGGAACTTTCTTGTGCTGGCATATTTACCTCACTGCTCATAATATGACAACCATAGAGGTAAGAAGCGTAGCTTTGCATCATGTCGAATTTATTCATTTATTCATACTATAAATTTTGATTTTTTAAATTGTCAATCCCCTTACAGTATTATGAGGGAAAACGAGCCGCTTGGCTGGCTAGGAAATCTGGGCTGAGCTATCACCATCCTTTTGATGTTGGTGTTTACAAAAATATCACCCTGGTCTCTCTCTCTCTCTCTCTCTCTCTCTGCCAATGTTTGTGTGTGTCTGCACGTGCACGTGTGCTTGCCTGTGACTGTGTTTGTGTTTGATACCTTGATGGTATGTTTGCTACATGGAAGATTTAATAGTACTATATTTAGTCTCAAAATGACACAATTTATAATCTAGAGAAAGGTGAATAGATTAAACCACAATTCTTCATGTTTAAAATTTCTTGAATAACCAAATTTTATGTGTTTATTTTTGCAAAATTTTATGTTTGGTTTTCAATTATCAAAATCATAAATAAATAAACTATCAAGTTATAAAGAGAAGAGTAATAGAGATAAAACCACATGTATAGTCGTTCGACTCCCAATTTAATATATTTTTGGTGTTTTCACTCAACAATAACAGCAACAACAAATTCCCTTTTATTTTGGTTGGTTCGAATATCAACTTACATCAGTAGTTTTGATAAAAGGAACGAGTTTCCAAAATATTCACATCCTAAGGTGAACTTATAAGTAGCAAGGGTTTCTTGCTATATAATTTCAATCTTTCAAAAATGTCGCTCAATTAGACAAATATACATTTTCAAAGCACTTCGTATTTCTCTTGCACTTATCACTTCGCTGCATTCACTTGTATTGATCTACTTCTGCAACTGAAATTCTATATGCATTTATAGCAAAATTTATATTGTTCATAGCCGTTTACAAATGTTCAAAATTTGAATTTGAACTTCGAACTCCGTTGCCATTTGCCAATGCTGTCAGCAAAATGATTATTAGAAAGTAGTGTCATTCATCTGCACAACTTTTTTCTTTTTTACATCTGTCAAAGAGGAAAGAGAAGAATTTTTTTTCCAATTTCAGTTCCACAGTGCACTATTGAAGAAATCAATTCATCGACCTACTACTACAAAAGCTACGAGACTACTATTTTTTTATACTATAATATTATTATGTTTCATTCTCATGTTTTTCTTGTGCACAAGTGCGATTTGTTATTTTCTTGTAGTACCCACTACACATACCTATGTATTAGGTCCAAAAAAGCATCTAGACAAAAACACAAGCAAAACATCAGCCACATTCGATATATAACAAGCATATAAATATATGTATGCACCTGTGTTATGTTATAATTTCAATGTTTCCAAGTTTCAATTTTTCCTTGTAAATGGTATGAAATTTCAACTTCGACACAGCTGAAACTTCTGTTTTTCTGTTTGTTTTGCTGTAAATAAAAAAAGCCATTGATCAACACTCTTAATATGCCCACGGCTGTAAATGGATCGGATATGGACCGGATCTACCTATATCCAATCCAATCCGATAAGAATAATTATCCTATCCGATCCGACAATCCAACGGACATTTGATTGTTAAGTTCATATCCGTTGTGCTATGTTATCGGATATGATAATCTGATCCGAAATTAAAGAAATTAGGAAAAAAATAATGTTGAAATCAATTTTTTATTTATTCATTTTTTTCCCAATTTTTCCAATTCTTAAACGGGTTTAATAATTATAAATTTTTCAACTTTTTTATATTATGAATTTGATGAATTTTTTATTCTAAATTTATTTATTTTAGTCACAAATAATATGTCATAAAAATATTTACCGACTCAATTATTTATAACAAACAGATCGGATTTTTATCGGATCGGATTGACTTATATTCATATTTGATCCATTTAGTTAACGGATTATCGGATTCGGATCTTGATCGGATTATTAGATTGAGACCCTAAATCCATCTCCCATTAATTTCATCGAATTCGAATCAAAATACAATCTATTGACAGTCCTAAATATACTCCCTCCGTCCTTTAAAGATGGGATTCCATTTTCACACAATTAAGAAAATGCAATTAATATAGTTGGAGATATAAATTTTACTTACATTTTTCCTAGTATACTCCATTAAATAATGGTTTAAATAGGAGTAGTTTATATTTGTCGATAACAATGCACATTAAATCGGGGCATGAGAAAATTAAGAAATTAACTATATTCTCAACAAGAAAAGTGAATTATAATTTGGGACAAACAAAAAAGGAAAGCAATCTTATCTTTATGGGATTGAGGGAGTAACATGTTGTTTTCACTTAAACGAGTTCAAAAAAGTTCTAAATTACGATGAGTATCTTATCAAATGTGAATGATAATTAGTGTATAATCTTTTAAGAGTATTTGATTTAAAGGAGAGTATTCTCATTTTATAGAACTGTATTTGCTTGTATATGTTTTTTTGGAACGTTTTATATTCGTATCGATGGGATGAATTTTTAAAATCTGTTTTTATTAAGAGTCTGTTAATATGTTATAATCCTTCTCACCTTACTTCAAATTATTTGGAGATCATTTTTTTGGACAAGGCTTTAATGTGGTAACGTGTGCTTAGAACTGTTATGTATCAGTTTGTGCATGCATCCGAGGAATTTATCGAATGAATTTTAAAATTCTCTTTTCACAAGAGTCCTTCAAAAATCTAACTTGTAGAAAATGTCTAATTCTCTAGGTTGCAATGGACTGCACACACAAGATACAGATGAAATCCTTTGTTCAATAGTATAGTAAAGGGAAGAGAATTGTAACGTTGCGTGAATTGCTTTCACTATTCTCTTCTTTTTTCTTTTCACATTTGTTGAAGGATGAGCAATATTTTCTACATATTGTCAATTTTCTGAGTGTAGGAAGTTTGATAAAAATGTACATGGACAAATGGTTCTATTCAAATGATCATGTACTTTCCGAATACATAGTTTGAAAAATTGCATGCACGATTGAATTCAGATTCAGATGTTGAACGTCTGTAAATGGTATTATTTTGTATAAAAATAGCTTTGATTTTCAGACTGAGGATATGCAAGATAGAGAAAAAAATGGAAGACCATTGAAACAAAAGTAGTAAAATATCTTCCGAAGAAAATTTTCTATGAGGTTTTGAAAATTTGTAACTTTCTATTTGAAAGAAAATTTGAGAGATTGAAGTGTGAAGCAAGAAACCATTGCTATTTGTGTAATACTTGTGTGCTCCATTATATGTATCAACGTGTGCGAACAGCAATGAAGCTTTACAAACTCATTTATTTGATAATTAACAGTAAATATGTTATTCATGCTGCGATCAGGTCTTAGGCCCAAACATGCTAAAATGGCTGTGGCCCACATCATCAAGTCATATCAAAGATGGGCTTAACTTTCCAAGTATACGTGATAGCTCATAACACGTGTCCCACAATTTCTGAAGCTGTCGATAGTCGTCTGGTCAGTCATTGTATAAATTATCTTTCATTATTTTCTACTTGAGAGGAAATCAAAAGTCTCCTGTATAATTTGTACATAGCATTGACTTATGTTAGAAATCAGTAATCGTTTTTGCGCTTTAATTCCTTTTCTGAAAGCATTTGGCGGGATTCGTGATCTTAAATACGATAATTGCAAATAGAGTTGATATTCGTTATTTCGGCCTTCTCAAGGCCAATTTGATCAAAGGTAAAACAAACACTATATGCTTTTATAGAAATTATTTTATTTCAATATATTTCTACCATGTAAGGTTTTTTATATGTTGGAAGAAAATTTGCATCATTTTGTTCCGTACTTATGCCTCGCAAATTGCAATAACTCGTTCCATGCCTTTGTAAATCTGTACTCTTCGAATCATCATTTTCTTGCCTGTGGTCAGTGAAGGAATTATACTCTCTGGTTCTATTTCTACGATCTTTCTGGTTTCGTACTCTGATGCTCGCTCTTATATTTATGTCAAGTGTCCATTTGGTTAATCTTGCAATTAGAATAATATACTTATCTTGTCCTTCTCCTGCCTTTTTAAGTTCCAGTACCTTGGAACATAATCTAACAGCAGCATAGTAGATTATGAAAGAAGTTTATTGTATTACAAGTTTATGTCCTATTCTTTATTATCAAGAAAGATGCATGGTCATTGCTGGAGCATTGCAGGTGATCTGTTATGAAAATTGGACAAGAAATATATTTCAATGACATGTTTGGTAAGCCGCATTAAAAAGTACAGTGACATAGACGGGATTTTAGCTTCTTTTTCACTATTTAATATTTGTCACCATGATACGCTCCTTGTTTCCTTATTTAGTTTCACCAGTTGTACATATATACTTCCTTAGTCAGAATCTGCATTTAGACATAGTTTCCTTTTGTATAGTCAGAATCGGTAATAGATGTAATTTAGGCTTGATTCTAGTATTGTATACTGCACATTTGTGCCTATATAATGAGAGGAAATCCTCACAGAGGAGGTATTCAATCCATTTGTCAATATTGTCCAATGTGAATTACCTAACACATCACTAATGCAGAAGATCTTCTTATTGATCAAGGATCATCACTGATCTCAATTGAAGCTTTTATATCCTCCAGTAAGTCTTTTTCCTAGTATATAAATATTCGCATTTGTTGCCAGATTTCTGCAAAATTTGTGCCTGCCCAATTAAATGAAACCCTCATTGATTAGGATAGACCCGTAATTGGCTTCGTTCGTTACTAGATGAGGCAATCCTTGTATTAGAGTATGCAAAAGTTATAAACTCAAGTTCCATTGTTATCCATTAGCGAAATTTCGAGTGTCAGGTAATGGGTAAGTGAACACAACCATCTGCCGGCTCCCTGAGCACCAAGTTATCACCATCATAGGAGGCAAGCCCTGGGGGGAGCATGGTGCACCTCGCCGCCTCAAAGACCAGCCCCTATGGGAGGTCAGGCACGAGCAAACCAGCACTCGCTGACAAAGCAACCTCCTTTTAAGGGAAATTATCACCTCTTGGGTGGACCTATCATTGGCGGACATCATGTCCGAGGTTCCACGAGCAAATCTCATTAGTTTATCAGAGCTGCCAAGAAGCCTGGCAATGTAAAGCTACTGGGTCCAAAAGGTCCCCAATGCGACAGATAACTCAGTGTAAAGAGGAAAAATTATTCTCGCTTGTGGAAATAGGAGAAGAGCTAAGAGTGGCTGGAAATTTCATGGAATTCTTTATCATTGATCGGAGGTCTGCTTACAATGGTCTGGGCTCCCCCGTGCTAAAACAACTTGAAGCAATAACTTATATTCATCATTTATGTATGAAATTTCCGACCGACAGGGATTGCTATTGTAAAAAGAAATCCAAGGCACTGCTTGAGAATGCTATTTAAGTGCTTTGAGAAAAGAAGCACCAGGAACCCCAGCCATAAACACGGTTATGATGACAGAAATAGCTGAGACAAATTCAATGGAGATTGAAATCCTGGTAGTACTAGATGAAAGTTTGGATAGTAGAATATAGAATCCAACTCTGAAGCCACAGCAATCGTAGAGCTAGGAAGAATTTTTGCGAGCGACGATGAGTCGTCGAAAGTACTCTGGATAGGCATTGTCCTCGCTGACGATCTGAAAGCTAAAATCAAAGTATAGCTACCTGATTGTAGTGAAATTAAAGTGTAGTTATCTGATTGAAATAATATTAAAGTGTAGTAACTCGATTGAACAAAATTACAATATAGTTACTCGATGAACGCTAAGTGAAAGTATAGTTACTATAAATGAAATTTGTGTTAGGTATTTGATGAAAAAAGTGTATCCGGTCCTTATGTGAGAAGTCGTAGTTGAATATAAAATATAAATAAAAAGGTTATTCTCCTCTCTAATAATTTAGATGAGACCACATTAGGACAATTGCCATTTGTTCTATACAAAAAGTTATTGATCTCTATATGATATTCTAATAATAGATGTTCTTTTGGATATGATAGATTTCTATTTTGCTATAAAGAAATGACGTTAGGATGAGGACAAGTGTTTCCTTGCTATTTGCTATGATAGAATGAGAGCAATTTACTAAAAAAAAAGCTTAAAATTACTTCAAGTTTGGCTCGTTTGTTGTTCGAGTTGAGATTTAACGACCTTAGGATGACTTGAGTTCAAGCAATTTACTTGAATAGTTTTATTAACTTGACGTGCCATGACCCCCCTATGCAAAATTAACATCTGTTTGAGGGTTGCGTACGTGACCACAAAGATTTTCATGAAACACCTTGAGCCCGAGTGCTTTCATAACGTTAGTGCTTTTAATATTTATTTTTAAACTTTCATCTAATTTTCTTTTAAGCTATTTTGAAACAATCTAGTGCTTAAAAATTGTGAAGAGACCATCCATAGCTATAAAATTGAGACAATTTGATAAGATTGCCATGTCACATGGCAATCATGTGTCATAGTAGATGTCGACGTAATTCCTATCCGTTTTATGTGGTACATATATGCACAGACAAATGTATACACGTATATTCTGTGCAACAAACCATAGAATACTGATATTATTGCAGTGATATATACATTTGTAACACCAACGTCACAAGATATTATTGTTAAGTCCATGTTATGTGAGATACAGGTTGACACATGACATGTGACAATTGGTGGTGGCTATACATGAGCTCAATCATAATGTCCCTAGATATCTTTTGCATATTATGCAAGTTATTTTTATTGAAATATTAGAATTTCAAAAGAGCAATGATATTTAGTATTACTGATATTAAACATTAGTTTAATGACAGATCAAGGAATTTGAGTAAGAACGTGCGTTGTCACATGACGGGCACCCAATATATGGAAAAAAAAAGAAAAAGAAAAAAAAGGGCGGATCCCCAACCCAACCCAACCCAACCCCCACCCACTGATTCATTTTTAGTCAGATAAATTTTTTTTTACGTATTAACCTAACCTGTAATTTGGTCCTGGATTCGTCCTTGGGTTGATCTAGAGGAGCCATGTTGACCTTAAAAAGGCTGGTTGAGCATATTAAACAAGTTTGTTTTAGCAGATTTTTGATCAAAATATAAATAAATATATCATTTAAATAAAAAATAAAATAAAATAAAATTTAAAATTGATAGCTACTTTTGCCAACCAGCTAGACATCCAAAATCTATCAAAATCATACACGTGTGTAGGACTAGTTCTGCAAAAAAGGACAAATGAAGAATGAATGTGGACATTATGAGATAGCTAAGAAACGTGGAGACTCGACCGCGAGATCTAATCCCTTAATCCCTTTAATAAAAAATTGCAACCATGCTCCTCAAACTTTGAGGTTGTCCATGATTGGGTTCTTGAACTTCGTTTTTGATATTTGAGATTTAACCTTAAATTTTAATAGTACTTAATAGTTTTTTTTTTAATTGTCTAATATTTTTTAGAGTACAAAAAAATTCAATGACCAAAATGGAATAAGTTTATTTTTCGGTCATTTTGAGTACACTAATTTATGTTAAAATCACCTTTGTTTTTTTTTTCATAATTATGTATTTATTACATTAAAGCATATATATTTTTTTGTAGCATTTAAATAAAATGGTCCATAATAACATTAAAAAGATTTAAGACCTACTAAAAAATATGATAGTTGATACTAAATTCGGAAAAATAAAGCGATAATATTGTCAAACAAAATTAAAATCATATCCCAAAATCTAAAAATAATCACTAATAAAATGCAACTGATATATAAACAAAAATGTATTCTTTACTTCTTGAGGTGTCCATCATTTTCCCTTTAATGCATTTCTCGAAATCTGTTCTATTGATTGTTGTCGACATCATGGCATGTGATCTTGAGATAAAAACCCGTGTTTGTTTTTCACGTAAATGATTAATTGTTGAAACTATTAAGAGATTTCTAAATTAATTTGTTTCATGAACTCTGTCATAACGTCCCTAGACAAAATTTTGCAAATTAGTCAAGTCGTTTTATTCGAAATATTAGAGAGTTACATCTCAAAATAGTATATGCACCAAAAATTGGACATAGATTTCACGTCATTTGACTCTGACTGATATTGACAACTTAATGATATAGTGGTTATTTAATAAAGATTTGGACTAATGAATCACATGTCGTGTAAATGAAATTTTAACATATTTTATATCAAAAAAAGATGTATATATCTAAATTAAAATATTAGATATTGCATTATTCATAGCTATTTTTCCAACCAATCTTTAGACATCCAAATCTATCAAAATCATACACTTCTAAAACTATATAAAAATCAATTGATTGTACAAATGACTATAATTTCTGCAAAAAAAGACAAATGAAGGATGAATGTGGACATTATAAGATAGCTACGAGACGTGGAGAATTGACTGCCATCTATTAATAAAAAATTGCAACCATGTTCCTCATACTTAAAAGTTGTTTATGTTTGAGTTCTTGAACTATTTCAACATTTGAGTAAATCTTAACCTTCCACTTTTAAAGTTCTTGGAGATTCTTTTTTAAAGAGTGATCGATTATACGTGTCAATTAGCGAAAAGACAATTTTGTAGCAATACATGAATGAAATAAATAAAAATTCAAAAGAAAAACACGAAAAAAATAAATCCTAAAATATTATCTGTTAGTCATTAGAATCTTGTCGATGATAGAATCTATACTAACACTGAAGTAACTTTAGAAGGGTATTCTAGCAAAATTATCGACTCTATTCTTCATTTCTCTTTTAATTAAATAACAAATCTATATAAAAAAAAGTTGATATTAATATAAAAAACTGTGTGTGTTGTTTCTCCAAAAAAAAGACAAATGAATGTAGAGTGTATGAGACGTGGAGAATCGACTGCGAGATCTGGTATGTCTTTTAATTTTTTTTATTCTACTTTATTATAATCTCACGGATAGCAACCTTGATTTTGGCATGTTCCTAGTTTATGAATAAATGTCGGCCTAGTTGTATGGAAAAATTGGATTGCAGTCCCCAATATTTGAAGTGTCACATTTGAGTCCTCAAACTTCTTTTTCCTCCTTGCATTTAGGTTCTCAAACATTTTGTTGACGTTCGAGTTCCAACCTTCGAGTTTTAGAAAACTTGGATTCTTTTAGATGGAAACTGAACATAGAAGTTTTGTGGAGTATATTCAATTTGAACTTTCAAATTTTTTTAGATTTTTTTTTAAAAGTAAATGACTTTTGTAGAATTTAATGAATTGTTTAGAGTATCCTCCCATTCATAGACCTTGTTCGTTTGCCCCACGTTTCACCATTCCAATATGGTTCTCAATATTATCTCCACCTTGTCATTGTTCCTCCCCGTTAGGACTAGTGCGTTGTTTATAAGTAGTCAAAAATAATACCTACAATATTTATATGCATACTATGTGAGCATGTGTAGAATAATATGATGAGGAGATAGAAACGCCAAACCAAATTGAGGAGGAATTGGAGATGGAAGGTTTGAAAAACGTTATAAAATAATATCTTAAAAGTGATATTTGTCTCCTCTCATTTTTTAGATTACTTACGGGTTCATCGACAAATATCTTTATGATATGACAAGTTTTCATGATTTTGTATCAAGCAAAGATGAAAAACTCACAAAGGAAAGATGAAAATTTACAGAGGAACAACGAACACTTCAATTTTCTAAATTTAAGATTTTCACGTACAGAGATAATTGTACATGATTATTATACTTTGTATTTCTCCAATCCACCAAAAACTTGCATACATAGATGGTTTGATAACTTGGGGCGTGTAGAAGTGTAATCGAGATCATAAACGTAAATTGGTGCACGAATTAATGAATGGGTTCACAATTGAAGAACAAGTTCGAAAAAAATGACTTATTGGGACTGTATTGGCATAATATTGTGTGAAAACCGTACTTTCATTTTGGGATATCAAAATAGATTCGTGTTGAAAGACTAAGCACAAGACGGAAAACTATGAAAAACAGTTTATGTGTTGAAGGGAAAATATTGGGATAAAAGAATGTGATCGCTCTAATATTGGGGACTACAAGTCCAAAACATAAACGGCTTTTGTCAAGGGCAAAATAATTAAGGTTTGTCCCATAATAGTTTATATATTGGTAATAATTAAGGTATGTCCCACGTAAAAAAATGATTAAGGCAAATAATAGTTTATATATTGGTACACTTTTGAAGGATATAATAATGTATAGTAAAGATGCTCTCTACGTGCACGCAAATGAATAAATGTTGGATCGAACAGACAAAAATTGAACCCTCGGAGGGATCTACGTTTTTCAAAGAAATTGAATTTTAAAAAATGAGGGCGAAATAGGGGCAATTGATTCCAGCTATATGATTTGAAATCTCCTTTTTTTCTTTTTTTTTGGGGTATACATGGGAGTCGTAAGTCGATATTTCAAAAGCCAAGGTATCTGAATGAAATTAACTGAAAAAGAGATTAGGGAGGTGTGGTGGCTAGACCCTGACTTGGAATCTATTCACGTACAAATAGTTGATGGCCAATCATATTCTTGAAAATTATTGTATATGCCAAACTGTCACTGTTAATCTGCAATTTGCAATTTCATCTGTCACCCCATCCCAGAAGAAAACAAAATGTCTCAAATAATTGATAAGCACCACAATTTGATTTTAAAAAGTCAAATTTTAATTAAAAAAAAATTATAAAATATGTGATTGAAAAGTTGTAGATTTCATAAATTGTGTATTTACAATTAATTTTTGACTTTGACTTAGATATTAATTCAATTTTTAAGCTAAATCAAATAGAACGAAATGTTTGAATAAAATTATAAGTATTTAAATTATAATGTGATAAAAAAAAAGTAGACAGTATTTATAAATTTTGATTGTGCTACATGTACATAATAATTTATATAATGGTTTACTAGCAAATGATGTGACAAGATTGAATTTGATCAAAATCTCATCAATCAAATAACTTCATTACTTATATTTTGACATATCACGAAGCATTTTTCTATGAACTTTACGAAATATGAGACTGAAATTAATATTTAATTTTTAAGTAAATTGTAAATTACTTTTATGTTTTCCAATCATAGACTTGTAACAAGAATAAAGAATTCTTCTACTAGCAGAGCATATCCTTTTTTCCTATAGGGAGTATGTAACTTCAATAAAAATGTTGTGTTTAAACATACTCCATCCGCCTCGTAAAACTACACTTATTTCTATTCTCACTTAGATTAAGAAGGAAATGTAATTAATATAGTTGAAAATATAAATTTTTCTTATATTTTTTTCTAATATGTCCTACATTAAATTAAATAATAGTGTAGATATGTTCAATTTATATTTGTTGATAATAAGATACATTAATAGCCTGTTTGGTAGCTATTTTTCAGATCAAAAAATGAAATTTTTGGCCTTACAAATCAAAGTCGGCCGTCTTTTTTTCTTCCCCTCTCACAGGTGGGACCCACAAATATTCTTTAATGGTCATTCTTTTTCTTAAAATTTGTTGAAAATGGCTGCCAAATATATACTGAATAGGGACATATTAGAAAATTAAAAAATATTTATACCTTCAATGAATATATAAAGTGACACATGCACACGGGTTTACACTCCCTCACATGAAGAGGGCCCGCGTACAATAATCGCGGGCTTCCTCCCCTCCATGTGAGGGGAGTGTAAACCCGTACGTGCTCTATTATGTTATGTAGGTCATTAGGTGTAACATCACCCGTATTGAACGCGGGCCCTACTCCATGTAAGGGGAGTGTCGATCCATGTGTTCACCGTTATGTTAGGTAGGTGTAGCGTCACACTAAAGAAAATCAAACTTATGTTTAAGAGGAGGTAGTATGATATATAACTATATAAGGTCCCCCTCTACCTTAATTACCTCAAACTCGCAGCACAAGGTGTATGCAATTTGAAACAAATCCCATCGGAAAAGCCTGATATTTTTTGACCTTTAGAAGCTCTTCTCGAAAAGTAAGTAATCATTTTCTCCCTATCGATGCACAAACACGCTTTGTCTGTAGACATGCATGAACTACTAATCCCAAAATTCGGGTGTAAATATGGAGATTTATTTTTGAAAAATTCAAACTTTGGGCTTGAATTTCTTGGAAATTTTTCTGTTGAAGTAAATTGATTCTTGATCTTTGTCTCTGTCTACTTCTATATTTAGCCTCCACTCAAGTTTCAAGCCCGTATTTTCTGCCAATATATTCTATAATTTATTTTTCTTTCATTTAGCTCAGTTTCAATTTCCAAACAATCAATTGAAATTGTATAAAAACTCAAGAAGACATTCTGCTTATGATTTTGAAGACCTTTAATTATTGATTGATTTCAAGCAAATAATTGGCATTTTATATTCCATTCATTTTACTTCTGCGCATGTACTAATCACATACTTGCATCAAAATTTGAATGAATTCTTATTTTGATCCCCCATCAATTTTTCTGTTTATGCATAGATATATTTGAAGGTGATAATTTCTTGAAGCCTTGAGGAGTGAAAGGAAATGAAGAATTCGGTTTCGGACCAGAGTTTTTACATAGAGAGTGAAGGAGAGGATGAAGAGAAGGGATACAACAAAGGTGAGGATGGCGCAGATGGAAATGATTCTGATTCTTCCAATTACTTGAATGATGACGATAACTACAATCAACGACAGCAGAGCAACTTCAGCACACAGTGGCCTCAAAGTTACAGGTATAGATTCTATACACCTCTGAGTATATTCGTGTTATTATTTTCTTATCTGTTGTGTTGTGTTTTATTAAGATTCTGATTTCGGGTTCTAGTCATTAAATTATTGGTTCTGTTTCGGTTCTTGGTACACAATTTTTGTGAAATGAGTTGAGCTGTTAATCATGGGAATTAGATTCTTTATACACTTCCTATTTGCAATGACAAGTAGATTGAGAATGGAAGATGTGTGTTTTTTGTGCATTTCTGTTTTTGTTTTGTGATTTGCTGTTCTTGTAATTGGAACTAGAGCTTATTGCCTAGCTAATTTTATGTTATGAAGATAAATACTTTGCAACATGATTGATTAGCCCTTTATGACTTTTTTGGCTAAGATGTTAAGTTTGCCATTTTAGAAAGAGAGAGAATGTTGTGCTTGCTGCGAAAAATGAGAGCATTTATGGTATCAAAGTCATTCGTGCAATGAATTGTAGGCTAGTTAATTATACTTGGAATGATAATGTGGAATAGATCATAGAGGAATATGCAATCTTGGAACATTCGACAGTTCTAAAGAAGAAAATTAGCTAAAACCTTATCTGTTGTTCTGTGGAATCCTGCCTAGTAATGTGTATGGTGTAGAACAAATGACTGGATCGATTGAAGAAGAATTGGACCGAAATGGACTATTAGCAATATTCCAGGTGTGGTAGTCGAGCTTCGATTTGGGCCCATAATACCATTTCGGGAAGAGAACAACGAGACAAGTAGAACTCACTGCTATGCTGTGACATACGATGGATTTTGGCTATTGTTTAGGACTCTAAAATTGCTTTTTAAGTTTTAGTACTATTTTTGTCATTTAGTTTATTTCAAATACTTTGCAATTTTAGTTTGTTTTAACTAGGTTTTCATGTAAACCCTTATAAATAAAGGGTTAAATAATCTTTTTTTATTACCTTTCAATTAATAAAATTTCGTGAGTTTATTTTTCTTTAATTTGGTGGATTCCAAAATTGTGTTCTTAAAGTTTTCGCTTGAATTCGCTGTCTCAATGTAGTATGTTCCTAACATGCAATTAGAGCATTAGTTGGTTGTCTGGATGTAAGCTGTATTCATTGGATCTACCTTGATATCTATTTAGTTATTTTGCACTTTGTTGCTCGCTGGAAGAACTTCAATTTCTTTAAGCTCTCTCAGTCAAGCCGCTGGCTATCTGAGGTCAAGAACTCAAGTTTGAATTTTAATTTACTTAAATTACTATGCTGATGTTTGAAAGTTGATTCAACTTGTAAAATAAAGTCTACAAGTTTTCTGGATGGCACCGCTTGATGGTAGTGACAACTCCCAGGAAGAAAATAATTGAAGAAAAAGAAAAGAAAAGAAGAACATACAGAAATCTATTAGTGAAATTGTCATTATCAGCATATATTTTTTGCAAATTATTTCTGGAGCATGTATGATGAGCCGTCTGTACGTAGTTTCGGATTACTTTGGAGGAGATATTTTATGAATGAGTGAATACTATCCACGTATAAAAGTAAAATGATGTTTTATTCTCGTGTACATACATAATGTGGATAGTAAATTAAGAATCACGATTCATCCAAGTAATTTTTATCTCGAATCGCTTTCTTTTGTACTTCTAAATACTAAATCTGTTGAAAATACATGTCGCAGGCAATCAATTGATCTATACGGTAGTGTCCCTTCTCCTAGTCTTAACTTTCTGGGGACACCATCATTGTCCCGCTTAAGCAGCTCATTTCTTTCCTCGTCACTTACGAGGAGACACACTCCCGAGATATTACCTTCTCTGAGCAAACCGCTCATACCTGCCGTAGAGGATGATAAAGCGCGAGACATATATACTTCCCATCTTCCAATTCCGCCTACCCCAACAAGGAAGCCTAGCGTAAAGAAAACAAGTATTTATGAGAAAACTTCAAAGGTCTCACATGAACTTCCAATTTCTCGTCAGAGCTCATACGGACAAGCAGTGATAAATGGTATGTTATTTCAATATGGTTTTGTTACTCAATTAACTATGGAGGTTGTTAGAATCTCTTTGTTACAAATATAGATAAGGGAAAACTCAGTTTGATTGATTGATGATTTTATGCTAAGTATCTTTTACACTCCTTCTAAGTAGAACGAAAACACTTTCAATTGCTGTACTTTATGCAACTGAACATAGGTGGCTCAACAACTAAAACTGGAATTCTGTTTATGATTCACTTATGAAACTGTTGCTCAACAAATTAAGTTAAACTGTTTTTGCTGTGAGTTCATGCAGGGATGAATGTTCTATGTGGAGTTGGACTCCTTTCTACTCCTTATGCTGTCAAACAAGGAGGTTGGGCTGGGCTTTCTATATTGTTGATTTTTGCAGTGCTCTCTTTCTACACTGGGGTTCTCTTACGTTACTGCTTGGACAGCCAACCTGGCCTAGAAACATACCCGGACATTGGCCAGGCTGCCTTTGGTACTGTGGGACGTGTTGCAATATCTGTAAGTCTTTCTATACCCTACTTACTTTTCTTCTTACAAAATTCTGTCTGTCTTAAGTCATAAGACTTGACAAAGTGGGCTATCAACTAGTGCTACCCTTGTCCTTTACACGGGCATGGGACCAACTATGAATAATATAAGCTGAACTTTTGTTTTAATTTTAAAAAACTATCGTGTCTGAAATAGAAATAGATTGCTTTCTTCGGTATGTGACAAAATAAAATATAGCATGCAATATTTCTGCAACATCACATGACACTAGTTCAAAATGATAGCATTACTGTGTATTCTTTGTTTCATTCCATGCTTCGTTTTTCTTTTTTCTGAAAGGGCAGGGATATAAGAAATCATTATGCTATAAGGGTAATCTTCTTCATCAACCTTCTCGATGCCATTGTTGTAAATTAACTCCATTAAAGAAAAAAAACAAGGTAGTAGCTTAACTGCTGCTTTGCTTTCCTTCGTCATGTCATCCCTAGTGCTTGATTTAAACAATTTCTTTCATTATGCAATCCTATACGCAATTAACTTAGAGGCGTAGTTTGATTTATGTTTTTTTTTCTCTTACAATACATCTGCCTTCTTTTGATTGAGCAATGCATTAAGTTGCAGAAAGTAAAATAGTTCTCCTTGAACTAAATGTTTTCTTCCTTTCTTATCTTCTATCAGAAAATTTATTGCTATATTATTTGCGATTTGATTTATTAAGTTGAATAGTGAATTCATCTTCATAACTGGTTGCTGACGCTGAATTCTGTTTCATTTTTTGGATGCAGATAATTTTATACGTCGAGTTATATGTAAGTGCATCTGGCAACGGCGCAACGCAGTGGGAGTGTATTTATTTGCCTCTAAAATTTATTTTAGGATCAACTAAAGTTCCTTTGTTATTGTTCTAGGGAAAGAAAAATACATCTGGGGGAAACACATCTTGTTCATTATATTTTCTAGAGGCCCTCTTAGTTCCTAAGCATGCATATTGAGAAAATCTATCAGAAGTTCATTTATCCTGGTGATTTTATCACCTAGAGTTATTAATCACACTGGCAATTCAATGAGTTGCGATACACTAAGTGAATCAGGTCTCTACAAGAATATGTTTTCATTTATGTTACAACAGCTCCCAATTCTTCTGTCCAATCCTGGAATTCAACTTCCAGCTGTTGGTTTTTTATTGGCTACCCAACTTAAGAACTAGTCCATTTCAATTGTGCACATGGTCGCTGGTTTCTAATACTCTTTCAGTTCCAGAAGACTCTGGCTGGATATGTCTGTTCCCTTTGTGAATCTTTGATTGCTGTGAAATTATGGTAGATTTACACAGTTATTAAGTTCTAGTGGGTGACATCTTGCCACATTTTGGCATTTACTAATATATGTACATGATATATGTTCTTGTGGGCATCAATCATCTCTTTGTTGAATTCTACAGGCGTGTTGCGTTGAGTACATTATTTTGGAGAGTGATAACTTGTCCTCGTTGTTCCCAAATGCACATTTAAACTTTGGAGTATTCAATTTAAACTCTCGCCATCTTTTTGCATTGATGGCCACCCTGGCTGTTCTTCCTACTGTTATGTTACGAGACCTGAGTGTTCTTAGCTACATATCTGGTGAGTCTACTGATTTCATTGAACTTGTAGTTTTTATCTTAAATAATATATTGAAAATGGGAAAATAATAAAGTTTTTGTCTCTGTAGCTATTGCATTTGATTTCCATACGAACTAGTTGTTTATGGTAATACGAAAGTTCATTTTGTTCCTAAGGGTAATTGTTACTGCCAACCTGATCCCACTGGAATAAGTTAGAAGCTAAAATTAATATGACCAAATATTGTTGAAAAGAAATTTAGTTTCATTGGATCTTTCCAGTAGAGGATCCATCAAATGGACTGGAAACTAAGAATTGAGTAGCCAACCTCAAAATTAAATGCTAAGGATATGGCCATGTAAATTTCAAACCACCGAAGCTATTTGGTAGATATTGGATATAATATCAAATCATACTCCTAGTTTCACCTAGACATTGAAATAGTCCAAAAGATTTGGAGTACCCTCACGTTGCCTGGTCTAGCACGACTTCACAATCCTTTATTGCACCATGTGTCTTCAATTTTCTCTTGCTAAATTTTCAGCTGGAGGAGTTATTGCTTCCATTTTGGTGGTTGCGTGCTTGTTCTGGGTTGGCTTAGTCGATCAAGTTGGCTTCCAGATGAAAGGGACGACATTGAACCTGTCTACTCTTCCAGTTGCTATTGGTCTTTATGGTTATTGCTACTCGGGCCATGCTGTCTTTCCCAATATCTACACATCAATGGAAAAACGGAGCCTGTACCCCGCAGTCCTCCTAGCAAGGTGGAGCCAAGATTCTAAGCATTTTCCAGTGCCATCGTATTAAGAACTCCTTTCCCATAAATTATTCTCCAACTTAATCAACAAAATGTAGTAAATTTCTAAGCCAAGATTATTTATTTTCCTGTTTGTTACTTCTGAACTTGTTATTCTTATGAATGCAGTTTCGGGGTCTGCACTTTGTTGTATGCTGGAGTTGCTGGTATGGGGTATATGATGTTTGGAGAAACAACGCAATCACAGTTCACTCTCAACATGCCTAAAGATTTAGTTGCATCTAAAATTGCTGTTTGGACAACGGTATGTAAAGAGAATATATTCTTGCAGTAGTTTTCTCTTAATTGTTATCATACAATGGGAATAACATCATCATATTCGCTCAATAAGTTAAACTGTTTAGTCCATATATTATATTTCTCCATTGTCTTTAACATTTCAGCCTTCCTTTTTAAATATGAAACATGAATTTGTTAATTATGGAGGCCTAATTGCAAAAGTCAGATCGCGATAAATCTTTATAGGCAAGAATAATTAAAGAAAAAGGAATATCCTCGAATTCATTATATGTAGAAATCCGTAATGATGCAAAAACTTAACTCTATTCTGTAACTCCGGATCTTCCTTTTTTGTGTGTCAATAATACTGCTGTTTCTGTCTGTCCAAATCACCCAGAATACAGATTGTTTCAGCCTTATGAAAACCCGAGGACAAATATTGTAGAAATTGATTACTCTCTATGCTTATGTTTCCCTTACACTTCTCTTGAGCTCCCACCTGCTCTTTTTTGATTGTTGCTCTCTAAATTAAGAAGTAACACTAAATTTCTGGTTGGGATTTTCTTTATGTCAAGTTAATATTTAATCCGGGGTTGCTTGAAATTGAGCTTTGATTTCTTATCTCCAAGTCGAATTTTAAGTACATGGTTGTAACTTGTTTTTATGCCTATTCTTTGCAGGTGGTGAATCCATTTACCAAATATCCTTTTCTGATTCAATTTGCTGATATTATAAAAGGGGACAGCAATAATTTTCCTTCTTGTGGCACTTTCTTAACGAAAGACGAATACTAGGACAGTTTGCCTCAGATTTAAAGACTTGTGGATTGGAGAAACTTATGACGATTGTACTATATTTCTTTTTATTAAAAAAATAAGTACATAGCAATATAAGGTAGTTAAAACGCAACACGGTTAGATCATATCAGGTGAGAAAGTAGGCTTGATTATACTGAAGGACATGGAACTAGGAGCTCTCATTGATTTCATTTTCACATAATTTATTTTCTTAATGGTGTCAAAGGATTAAAAAAGTATCTTCCTTAACTAGAAATACATATGCATTAACGATATCCCCCGTGGCAATGAGTTTGGAGGAATTGATACCATCGAATCATTCCAAATCCCATTTGTATGCAATCCTCATCAGAACAGCTTTGGTGATATCTACGTTGATTGTGGGTCTTATCATCCCCTTCTTCGGTAAATTCTCGGCTTGACTCCATATTTTCTAAGAGAACGCTTCTACTTATAAATAAAAAGTATCTATTTATCATTCCTCGCTGTTTTTTAATCTGATTTCCTCTTTCATTTTATAATATGAAAGAAATCTTCTTTAACGTTATCTTATATTCGTTGTTTTATACAGGTCTGGTGATGGCATTAATCGGATCCTCACTAACAATGCTAGTTGTAAGTACTTCAGAGTCGTTTTTACTATCATTTTTCCTACTTTTATTCTCTTCTTCAGCTTCAGTACTGGTTTATTTTCATCTGAACTTTCCATCTTCAGACGTTAATTCTTCCATGCGCTTGTTACCTCAGCATCTTAAGGGGGAAAGTAAGCTTCTTCCAGGTAAAGCTAAGGATTTTCCATCATATTCAGGGTTATACAATGTTACTAATTAAACCTTAATTCTTAATCCCTTGTTTCGAGAGCAATTATAATCTGAAAAGTGACAAGAAACGAACAAAGAACACAGATTTATAGTGATTCATCGTCAATGTGAAAATTATGTTCACTTGCCGTTATAGGTTTTCACTATAATTGAGAAGATGAAGAATACAAGTTTTTCTAATGCTTCTCTTGCACGTTAAAAAATGGTCCCCTAATAAATCCTTTATATAGTAGATATATAATGGCGATCTGCAGTCGAGGTGATCAGTTTACGATATACATGATTAGGCTCAATATTGTCCAAGATGCAGAACGTAATCAAGGAAAAGAAATTTATCCATGGAAAACCAAGTTCATGAAGGCCTAGTAGTCATTGTTGTAGCTATAGCATTCTGAATACACTCAACAGATTTCGATTTCATTTTCGTATGAATATAGAGTATGGCTGCTTTTTACTAAATCAAAATTGTTGCTATTTATTGATTTTCTTATCTAATTCTTTTATGGTATCGTTTTTGCAGAGGTCGATGTGTACATTAGTCATCACAGTAGGTGTCGTATCATCTGCCTTTGGAACGTTTTCAGCCCTGTCGAAAATTATCCAGAAATTAATCTAATACTGTCTGTAATGTGTTGTGTAGCAGCAATAGAAACAATTTATGTCTTCAATCTGCATAATCTTCATTATTTGGTTTATTGTTCAATGGGATTTTGTTTTTCTCCCTGTGTGTTCTAAAGAGAGATTCTGTAGGCTACTCTGGAAGACTATATTTTTTGACATCTTCACGTCATTTCTTCAGGATCTCTTGGTTGCAAATTATTCTTTCAGTACAGCACTATTAATTTGAAAAGTAAAAAAAAAAAAAAAAAAAAAGGAGCAAAACAAGCACGTTTATAGTTGTTCATTCTCAACATGAAAGTTTCTTGTACTCGTCATCCATAATTTAAGCCTATATTTTTTATAAATGTGTTCTATATCTAATTTTCATTTCGAGTTCTCAATGGAACGGAAAGGATCACAAGTTTCTCGTCACACCTCTCTTCCACATATAAAATGCCCCTTCAAATTTAATGCACGGGAACTTTAGGGCTGAGGTCATTGGCCCCCCTCATGAGGTTGTCAACTTCCTTGACCTTTTGACAATGGAGAGATGTTGATCCCATACTTGATCTTACAATTTTGTAGAGACTTGTGTTTTTCGTAAATGCCTTCTGAACCTAGTCACTACGACTTCCTAGCCATTTGTGAGATGACATCCGTCCGTTGAGCTATAAGATTATTTTGTCGAGTTTCTTAGAAAATTGTTACCGCTTACCTATCCACCCGTGTCTATTTGGATTTAAGTATCATATAAAAGAAATGATTTCGTTGTTTTTAATGCGTGAAAATGGGTGTTTTGTGCTAAGAAATAATTGTCCAATTAAATCCAAATAAATAGGTACCTTTGACTTTTATTTTGGAACAAAGATGGTACTTTTGAAGGTGGTTTTTTAAGATACTGTCAAGTTGCTCAATTCTTTTTCTTTCAAAACTCTTTCATTTCACATATTTTAATTACACATTCATACAATAAAATATTTTGCACGTAAATTTAAAATTTTTTCTACCTTTTAATTACATATTCTCAAAAAAATCACTATTTAAAATGTCATTTTTCCTCAGTTTTCTTTTTATAATGGTCGAGGGCAAATTATGTAATAGAGTTTTAGATTAGTTAACAATTATTAATGGGGTCAGCGTCCAGACCCAATCAATACTTAAGTTCTCAATTGTAATTAATTAATTCAGATTTAAAATAAAATAATTTCTTTTGATTTTGATTTTTTATAACTTAATATGAAAAATATTGTTTCAACTTTCAAGAAACAAATCAAAATATGAAATTAACATTTGACTTCAAATATAAGTACTACATTGCCCTATGAGGTTTACACCACACAGAGTAAGAATAATTTATTTTCTTTTAAATTGTCAATTTATCTCGATCTAACTTATTTTTTCAATATCAATTCAGATTGTCAAACACTCGTCGTGTTATCCATATCAATAAATTTTTAGTAATTCTAGACAATAGGCACAAGATGCTCATGTCACATTACGTCCATCTAAAATAATTTAATTTTAATGTGAATTAATTATATATATATTGCATTTTCAATAAAAATTTAAATATTTTGAAGTTAGTGGATTAACATTCAATTCATTGACAAAGTCAACAATGTACGTATAATGAACCTTGGCCAATGTGCCTAAAGGCTAAATCTATAGCGTCAGTAGCCGTTATTTGGTTTCCCCTTCCCAAAGCAAAGGCCAAATCAATCATAATTATCTTATAATTAAAATTAATTTTCAAAAACATCAATCAATTCTGGCATTACACATGCCACTTGCTTTTCATTCTCTCATCTCAGTTTCGAAAAATCTCCATTTTGTGCGCTCCAAATTGCACATGATAATATTTTGAAAACTACAATTCATAAATATTTCTTAAATTTCATTCAATTATCAAATATCATTCTTCCTCGTGAGTTTTTTTTTTCGTACAACATTTTTTTTTTTTTTGCATTATCTGCATTCATAATTTTGTGCCTACATAATGCGTACGCACTTTTGTTAAGTTTTACATGTTTTTATATGAACATATTGATTTTCTTTTAATGGGTTGTTGTTAGTTTCATTTGTTTTTGTGATCATGATTTTTTTTATTTTTTTGTATTGATTTTGTATTAGTTTCTATCGTGTATGTTCCAATTTGTTTCAACATGTGTGATATTTATGAAGTTTTTGTGTTCTATCGCAATTGGCTTGTTCTGAATTCTTCTCTCTTTTTGTGGGAATCAGGGTTTATCGACGGGCACATTGAATTGGAAATTCACGTATTATGCTGTACAATGTCAATGCAGGGAGAAATTTAGGCGATAATATCATGAACGGATTAAATTCAAATTGGAATTTAGAGAACGATGCGAGTTTGCAGAATGAACTAGAATTGTTGCTGCTACAGCAGCAGAGTAATAGTGATTTAATTCTTGAGAGGGGGAGAGAGTTAAATATAAATAGGAGTGGCAGTGCACCGCCAACGGTAGATGGCGCTTTATGCACTGCTGGGAGTCTGTTTAAGAACCCCAATTTTATGCCACTTGACAATAGAAGTAGCAGCAGTGCTATTAGTGGTAACAATGGCGTGTTGACAGAAGAAGAAATCCGATCGCTCCCTGCGTATCTAGAGTACTATTACTCACACGAGAATCTCAATCCTAGACTGCCCCCACCCTTGTTGTCAAAAGAGGATTGGCGGGTTGCTCAAAGGGTGAGGGCAGCAGGATCGGGATTTAGGGGAGTTGATGATTGGAGGAATAAAAATCTGGTAGATGATGATGGAAAATCTTCATTATTCTCCATGCAGCCTGGGTTATCTGTACAAAAAGTGGAAAATGAGTTGATGGAATTGAGAAAGGCTGCTTTAAGGAATCTTTCACGGAAAAATTCTTATGAGTATCTGCACAAAGCCTCCACTGACACCACAAGTACAGGAATGGGAGTCAGGACGAAGAGTTTCGCAGACATACTTCAGGTTTTTTCTCTTTCCTTTTCATTTTCACTCTATCATCTACTTTGCTTTGCTGTACTTACAAAATTCTTTAGAATTTAATTTTTTGTAATTATTGTTGGTTCTTGTTGTGACTGTTTCTTGCTAATTCTCTTAAGCCCTAAATGACCTTAGTGATTCCACTCGTACTTTTCTGAACCTCTTCTTGTGAAATTCATTATTTGTGCTTCATAGCCTGCCATCCAGCGTGTAAAATTATTAGCATGACTAGTTTGTATCCAGTCAACCAAATTGGCCGTGCCCGTGGAATAAAGAAAAGTAACATTTTGAGAAATTTTTGCTGCAATTTCCTGCTAATTACTACCTGTTTCAATTTCTAGAAGGCAACATCTTGGATGTAGCGTCACATGCATCATGAAGTGAATAAAAAATAATAAAATTTCTGGGCTTTCAGAATAAATGATTGTCCAAGAGCCAGTTCAATGATAATCTTCTATTGTCTCTTTGTGAACAGTTCTTTAAAGGAAGCATGGGATGAAATTAATACTATTTTGATTACTAAAATTTGGCTCCTTTCCCATTTCTGAAAATCAGTTTGATTCCCAATACTCCAGAGCTTTTTTATGGTTGTACAATTTAAATACTTAGTTCATTGTCAATCGGTGCAGTTTAAATACTTAATTTACTATTTTCCAGGAAGGTCTTGGCCAACCTGCGACATCATCAGGTCATCTCTCACGCTCTGCTAGCCATGATTCAATTGGTGAAGTTTTGGGTTCAACAGGAATGTCACAAGAAGGGCTTGGACAACCATTGACATCATCAGGTCGTCTATCTCGACCTGCTAGCCATGATTCATTAAATGCGGTTTTGGTTGCAGTGGGAATATCACAGGAAGGGCTTGGCCAACAGATGACATCATCAGGTCGTCTCTCACGCCCTGCTAGCCATGATTCAATTTCTGCTGTTTTGGGTTCAATGCGAATCTCTAGCACTCACTTAGCACAAATACGGAATAGAGCCAAATCCATTGAAGCTATGCATACGGAAAATGCTTTTACAGGTTTTTCTAGTACTCAGAGCCTTGGATTGGCATTCCCTAATTCTTCTGTGTCTTCTTTGGGTTCATCTCTGTCAAGGAGTAGGACTCCTGAGTCTCACCTTGTTGGGATGTCCACCGGTCCTCGTCTTGTTAATGTTGGTAATGGAGTTTGCCTGGATGATAAGATAAATAGTTCAGCCTCTGACACTCTTAATGTTTCTTCCTCCGGCATTAATGAGATAGCTGATATCGCTGCTTCTCTTTCTGGATTAAGCATATTGAAAGGTCAAGATCTTACCCAAAATAATATTATAAACTCTTCGATTCAAACAGGAATGTCAAATGGTCAAAGAGAGAATCAGCACCAGCAATATTTTGGCAAGTCTACAGTTGAAAAGTTGGCAAATGGCGTCATCTATGCTGATTTAACAAGGGATAGTGAATCAATGAGAGGCCTTAATATTTCCCACTCACGTTTGGATGGGCAAGTTAACTTGCCAACACGAGCATCTTCTTTTACCAATCTTCAGTCTCAACTTAATCCTTCTGAGTATGCAATCAAAGAAGATCGGAACATCCAACATCAAGGCCATAATTACCCTGTTATGGTTATTTCTGGTCGAGGACATAATGGATGTTCGGCTAATCATAAACCAGACATGATGATCAATAATCGTCTTGCTGCAGGTTATACTTTTTTCTTGGCATGCCAATGCAATAATTCACTATTGTAGTAAACCTTTTTTGTTAACTTTGTTTTCAAAATCCTCGTAGGTTCAGTTTTGAATGGTACTACTGGAAATAGACAGAGTTCAGAAAGTAGCAACCAGACTAATTATGGCCTTCACCATCCCCTTATGGATCCACATCAAATTCTTAATATGCAGAAAATGTCCAATTATGAAAGGAATGCTGCATATATTTCTGTAAGTTCTTCTCATGGAAGATATTATGGTGGTGGTCCCCATGGCCGTGAAGATTTGCAACCTTTAGAGAAAGCCTATCTTGAGGCATTGCTTTTGCAACAGAAACGACAATATCTGTCGCACTTTTTACACAGATCTGACAGTATTAATGATCAGTACCATGGGAACCCCGAATTGGACGCATGTGCTGTGCCATATCAGGGAAACCCAATGACGAATTATGTACATTCAACAATCAGTTCCAGGAGTCCTATGTTTAGTAATGGGCAACAGTCACCTATTCAGTCATTTTTGAGAAATTCAGAGGGAGTGTCCACTGGTTCTCTGCATTCAGAAACCGAAAATAACATGGAAGGAAGGTTTGAGTCACTATTAGAGGCCTTTAAGAACAATAAGACCAGATCTTTGGAACTTTCAGATGTTCTTAGTCATTTTACTGAGTTCAGGTAAATAAGTGGCATTTGTCATTCTGTTTTCGTTACCAAGCTTACCTGTTTCTTGGAGATTCAATTTTTATTTTATTGTTTTTCCACAATGCAGTATGGNAAGCTCCTAACTAAATGACCTATTGATTCCACTCATACTTTCTCTGAACCTCTTGTTGTGAAATTCATTATTCGTGCTAGACAGCCATCCAACATATAAAATGATAGCATGACTAGTTAGTTTGTATACAGTCAACCGAACCGACTGTGCACTAAAGAAAAGTAACATTTTGAGCAATTTTTGCTGCAATATCCATTTTCTAATTACAACCACATTTAATTTCTAGAAGGCAACGTCTTGAATCTAGAATCACTAGCATCATGAAGTAAATAAAAAAATGTACTTTTTTGGGCTTTCAGAATAAATGATTGTCTCAGAGCCAGTTCAACGATAATCTTCCATTGTCCCTTTCTGAACAGTTCTTTGAAGGAAGCACAGAATGAAACTAATCCTATTTTGATTACTAAAATTAGGCTTCCTTTCCCATTTCTTAAACTCAGTTTGATCCCCGATATTCGGAGCTTTTTTATGGTTGTACAATTTGAAATACTTACTTCATTGTCAATTATGGTGCAGTTTAAATACTTTATTTAATTTTTTTTTCCAGGAAGGACTTGGCCAACCTGTGACATCATCAGGTCGTCTCTCACGCCCTGCTAGCCATGATTCAATTTCTGCTGTTTTGGGTTCAATGCGAATCTCTAGCACTCACTTAGCACAAATACGGAATAGAGCCAAATCCATTGAAGCTATGCATACGGAAAATGCTTTTACAGGTTTTTCTAGTACTCAGAGCCTTGGATTGGCATTCCCTAATTCTTCTGTGTCTTCTTTGGGTTCATCTCTGTCAAGGAGTAGGACTCCTGAGTCTCACCTTGTTGGGATGTCCACCGGTCCTCGTCTTGTTAATGTTGGTAATGGAGTTTGCCTTGATGATAAGATAAATAGTTCAGCCTCTGACACTCTTAATGTTTCTTCCTCCGGCATTAATGAGATAGCTGATATCGCTGCTTCTCTTTCTGGATTAAGCATATTGAAAGGTCAAGATCTTACCCAAAATAATATTATAAACTCTTCGATTCAAACAGGAATGTCAAATGGTCAAAGAGAGAATCAGCACCAGCAATATTTTGGCAAGTCTACAGTTGAAAAGTTGGCAAATGGCGTCATCTATGCTGATTTAACAAGGGATAGTGAATCAATGAGAGGCCTTAATATTTCCCACTCACGTTTGGATGGGCAAGTTAACTTGCCAACACGAGCATCTTCTTTTACCAATCTTCAGTCTCAACTTAATCCTTCTGAGTATGCAATCAAAGAAGATCGGAACATCCAACATCAAGGCCATAATTACCCTGTTATGGTTATTTCTGGTCGAGGACATAATGGATGTTCGGCTAATCATAAACCAGACATGATGATCAATAATCGTCTTGCTGCAGGTTATACTTTTTTCTTGGCATGCCAATGCAAAATTCACTATTGTAGTAAACCTTTTTTGTTAACTTTGTTTTCAAAATCCTCGTAGGTTCAGTTTTGAATGGTACTACTGGAAATAGACAGAGTTCAGAAAGTAGCAACCAGACTAATTATGGCCTTCACCATCCCCTTATGGATCCACATCAAATTCTTAATATGCAGAAAATGTCCAATTATGAAAGGAATGCTGCATATATTTCTGTAAGTTCTTCTCAAGGAAGATATTATGGTGGTGGTCCCCATGGCCGTGAAGATTTGCAACCTTTAGAGAAAGCCTATCTTGAGGCATTGCTTTTGCAACAGAAACGACAATATCTGTCGCACTTTTTACACGGATCTGACAGTATTAATGATCAGTACCATGGGAACCCCGAATTGGACGCATGTGCTGTGCCATATCAGGGAAACCCAATGACGAATTATGTACATTCAACAATCAGTTCCAGGAGTCCTATGTTTAGTAATGGGCAACAGTCACCTATTCAGTCATTTTTGAGAAATTCAGAGGGAGTGTCCACTGGTTCTCTGCATTCAGAAACCGAAAATAACATGGAAGGAAGGTTTGAGTCACTATTAGAGGCCTTTAAGAACAATAAGACCAGATCTTTGGAACTTTCAGATGTTCTTAGTCATTTTACTGAGTTCAGGTAAATAAGTGGCATTTGTCATTCTGTTTTCGTTACCAAGCTTACCTGTTTCTTGGAGATTCAATTTTTATTTTATTGTTTTTCCACAATGCAGTATGGATCAGTATGGAAGTCGCTTCATTCAGCAGAAACTAGGTATTGCTACTGTTGAAGAAAAGATGAAGATATTCCCAGAGATTATCCCTCATGCTCTTAGCTTGATGACTGACGTATTTGGGAATTATGTCATACAGAAGGTATTTTTTCATTTGAACACCCATTTTTACACTGATGTTCCAATGATGAGTGGTTTCATTGCTTGAATGAGCAGTTCTTTGAGCATGGAACTGAAAGTCAACAGAAGGAATTAGCCAGCCAATTGATTGGTCAGATTTTGCCTCTTAGTCTACAGATGTATGGTTGCAGAGTAATCCAAAAGGTTTATTCATTAGCTTCATCTCCTAAATTTTGCCTATGAAAAGTGGCATGTATTTCTATATGAACATCACAACATGTGGCCATGAAAAAACAAAATTTCTGATAAGTACACTTTCTTATCTCTTCAATCTAACTCTGTCTTGAGAATTGATAAATGAATTTACACCATTTATGTATTCTTCCTGCATAGTATAGCAAAGTAGAAGATTTGGTTTCCGTTGAACTGTGTTTACAATGCAGGTAGTTCTTGAAGTTCTCTTATGTTTCCATTTCCAGCATTTGTTGAATGGTAATTTTTATTTTAATCGGATTAATAAAAAAAATTGAGAACAATGTGAAAATGAAAAACAGTGGAGGGAAGAAAATTTAACCAGTGCCATTTAGGAAGAAAGAGGAAGAAGAAGTTGGCTGAAACTTCTTTTTTCTCTAGCATTGGCCTAATGATTTTGAAAGGCAAGGCATTGAATATGATCACCGGAAATAGGTGTATACATGTTCTCTAGAATAGCATAGTACAATGCTATCTCAAACCTCTTGTGTTGGAGATTTCTTTTGTTGTTAAACAATTGATATTAGCTAAATTAGAAGTCACAATAACCAATGGATCATCAAGGTAAATTTGGGACTCGTTATTCATCAAACAAATAGTTTCAAGATGAAATGTTTGCTTATCATGTTCATGTACTACATAGAAATGCATGAGGACAAACTACTACTGTAGTTTGAGCATATGAAAATTGTGTTTGCTACAGCTTTCCAGTTTTATTCGTAGTTTTTGACATAAATTCGTACGTCGGGAAAAAAAATTAGAATTATTTATCATGACTGGTTTTGAGAAAGAATATTTTTAAAAAAATTATTCTAAGAGGATTACTCTAAGAGGATTTGAGACATGCAACGTTACACGTTCAAAAAATAAACCAGACATACTGTTTGCAGTCTATGGACCAATGATAATTTTCTTTTTAAATCTTTTGTGTCTCTTTTTCTTTCTATATGCACCAAGACATTGATTTTATTCACAGGCCTTGGAAGTAGTTGATGTGGAGCTGCAGACTAAAATGGTAGTTGAACTTGATGGTTCAGTGCTGAAATGTGTCCGTGATCAGAATGGTAATCATGTAATTCAGAAGTCCATTGAGTGTGTCCCTCAAGATCGAATCCAATTTATAATGTCATCATTCATGGGGCAAGTCGTGACATTATCGATGCATCCATATGGCTGTCGTGTCATTCAGGTTAAGTTTCTGACATTTGTTGTTTGCTTCCTATGTTTTTTGTTGCAATTATTCATGTACAATGAATTTTACTTTTGACAGAGGGTCCTTGAGCACTGTGATGATCCTAAAACTCAACAAATGATCATGGATGAAATTATGAACTCTGTTTGTATCCTAGCACAAGATCAGTATGGGAATTATGTCATTCAGGTACTTAATTTCCTTGGACTAATACCTGATCATAAACAATGACAGCTCTATCAGCATCAGCTATATGTTGAGGGCCTTTCTGAATTTGATTCTCTCATATTTTTTTGTCTTCCATTGGCACTTGATTGGAACATTTGGCAATTNTTATACTTTGATCTTCTCTGTAAATGTTATGTCGCTCTCTCTCTCTCTCTCTCTCTCTCTCTCTCTCTCTCTATATATATATATATATATATATATATATATCCTGTCCCTATGTTTGGGGGAGGTGGCCTGTGTCCGAGACCGAAATTTAAGCAGATGGGGATAATCTTTTATTTTTATTGTCTTCCATTGGCACTTAATTGAACATTTGGCATTTAAGTGATAATAATACTCATGTGAGAACTAGCATGTCCAGCTTTAATGCCGTTGGATGCCCTTCTTGTAGAATACTCCCTTCAGCGGTCAAGTGTAATTATAAATTAATCACTGGAATTTGTCATTTCCTGTCCGAGGTGTACCTCATGTGGCCAAAAATGTCAAGTTTTATTTTTCTTGTCTTTCAGAAAACTGATAGGGATAGAGATTGAAAAATAAAATCAGATGAGGTTTAATAAAATCAGATGAGGTTTACGTGGCTCAGATGACCTGCCGACTTGGGTGCAGAGATCTAATCAACTATAATCTAGAAAGATTCTGTAGATTTTACAATATGGAAATTAAGAATATATCTCTCAGTTCATTTAATTCCTTCTCCTGAACTCAAAGATTGGTAAAACAAATGAAGAGTTTCAGGCACTTCATATGAGCACATTTAATCTCTTTCAGATGGAAGGATAGTCTATCTTAAAGACATTAGTAGATGGTGCCATGTTTAGTGCCTGCAAAATTCTTCTTAATAAGAAAAGAAAAGGAGTTGTCAGATAAAAGATGTGCTGAAGTTGTGGAAAGAATTGGAACCTGTCAATCTGACCTGTATACGTAGATCACAATATGCCAAAGTCCCATCAATGTCCACTCTTTTTGCTATATGGAATAAAGTCGTCAATGCTGGTGATTTGTTTTTAATCTTGACTTAGTTGGCATTACATTCCTGATTTTCCGCATGCATGGAAAAACATGAAAGAATTTTCTTGTACTGTTGTAAAGTCGTGATAATAGAACAAGTACTGACTGTATATAGCTGTAGTTAGTCTAGCCCGAGGCCCTCCAAAAAAGCTGGTACCGTGTACGTTTGTACTTCACTGGATTATTTGCTGTTTATTTAGGAAATCTCATGCTTGTACTCCTCGATTGCTTTTGTTATATTGTTTCTCACAAATATCACTTTCACCATTTTGATCCTTCTTCCTCTCTTTCCAATTATTCTATTTCGTCGGGGGCCTTGTTAGCATGTCTTGCAGCATGGTAAACAACCCGAACGGTCTGCTATTATTCTCAAGCTTGCAGGACAAATCGTGAAGATGAGTCAGCAAAAATTTGCTTCCAATGTGGTTGAGAAGTGCTTGACTTTTGGTGGTCCAGAGGAGCGTAAACTCTTGGTGAGTGAGATGCTGGGTTCTACAGATGAAAATGAGCCTCTACAGGTGTGACAATGCTGCTCTCTAGATTTGTGACTTGAATTTGCTTCTTAGATAACCAAACAATATGCACCTTGATAATTATCAAATGTATTTTGCATATATATATATATATATCGGTGTCCTGAACTGACTATTGCACTCCAAGAACTGATTTGGAGTTAACCTTTTTCATACTTGCTCCTCAGAAATTTTGATATTTGATACTTTTTCTTTGGTTTCTCGTGAACATGGTAGGGGAATCAATTCCTTGCTCTTAGTTTGCCATAACTTTCTTGATCTTGTAAGTTGAGATTTTCTGGTAACAGTTTGATCCTTTATCTCATTCAAGGATCAGCTTGATCATCACTTCACATGATTATTGTTGTTGTTATTATTATTATCTGTTAAAATCATGGCAAAGGCACCTCTTTATCTAGTTTTGAATGTATCGATTGGATTGCATTGTTAACTGACTCATTATTCGGTTCTCTCTTATTCAACCATATATTGGTATAATGAATGCTTTGATTAGAAAATTTCAACTCCATCTCCGTTGCAACTGTTTGTTGCAACTGATTTTTTGAATATCCAACTCTCCCTTCCATTTTCTTCCCGTGCCCTGTCCACACACAAACACAATACCCAGAACTCCATTACTCTTCCAACCAAAATAAACTGGAGATGTTTAAAGCAATTCCTCCAGGAATCATTATGATTTTCTTCTAGTCCTCCATTTGTTAGGGAGCTTGAAATTGCTCTTGAAATTGCTCCTGTTAAGTCATTTTTCCTATTATTTCCTCATTTTTTATCGTGACATAATGAAAAATGCTGAAATGAAAATTGCAGGCTATGATGAAAGATCAATTTGGAAACTACGTCGTGCAGAAGGTTCTTGAGACATGTGATGATCGGAGCCGTGAATTGATTCTCTCTCGTATCAAGGTTCACTTGAATGCACTTAAGAGGTACACTTATGCAAAACACATTGTATCGCGTGTTGAAAAGCTTGTATCAATGGAAGGTAAGATTAGCTTTTACTTGATACATTCTTCCGCACAAGTTTATGCTACTATTCAACCCACTTCTAATCATATCCGAAATGTCGTTTACAGAGAAGCACATAGGGCTATCCTCATCACATCCCTGTTGAGGCGATGCAATTGCAGGCAAAAGAAGAGGTCTTTGTACATAACAAGGATGTCAGGTCAGCATTTTCTGTGAAGGCTTCTAATAGTTGTAAATAAGGAGGCAGTGCTTAGTGATATTGCTGGAATAAGGTAACTTCTTCTTCTTGATGATGTATATTTTGCGAGTAATATGTATTGACAATTGCGATGAGTTGTAACTTTTTTATGTATATGGTTCTAAATTCGTGAAGAATTTAGGATATAGCAGCACATTGTGAGCTTATGGCAGAGTTTTTGACTGTGATGAACTTCTGTATATATTCTGCACTTCACATATTTGCTAGCTTCCTATACTGTTTTTGAAAATTTTCTTTCTCCTAGCGTTTGTACCTTGAGGAAACTCAATATTCCGTTGAAATGAAAAATTGAAGATGGTAATATTGACAACTGAAGCGAGTGTCTCTGTAAATTTTGAAACTAGAGATACGATGTTCATGTGTTTGCCGCGACTTTAGGGAGCATTCCCTATGTTAAGCAAATAAGGAATGTTTACGTCACTAACAACAAACTCTTCGAGAGAAATCAGTGGTGACATTGTAGGATTGCTCAAGCTCGAGAAATGGGGCTACCAAATATCTGCTCTTCCTGCATTAATAAGTTGAAAAAATATCATTTTTGAAGCAGAGCAAGGCAATACATATGTGAGGTAAAAAAATAGTAATCAATTGCTTTATGAAACCATATTGATTGTACGTAATATCTTGTGAATACGAAAACTGTGAAATTTTATTGAAAACAAGGTCTCACACTTTCTTTTCATGTTCTCATTTGCAAGCTGACATCAATATCTGAAACTAGAAGTAACTTTCTTTTTTGGAATTCCTCCTAAAATGCACCCGTCTCTTTTTTCCTAGCATGTTTGACGATTAGAAAGAAAATTATTTATGTATTTTAAACTCCAAATAATATGATATTCTTGATAAGTTAAGGATGGTAACAGGGTCGGGTCGAAACGGTCATTTTTACCCCCATCCTATCGGAGATTTTCGAGAAGCGGGGATTCATCTATTTTAGAAAAGTTAATTGATTATGTGTCATGGTTTATTGCAAGTACATTCAATTGTGTTCGACCAGTGTACAAAAATGTTAAGGGTGAACTTTTACACTGTTTAAATACGAAACATTAAATTCCTTATTAGGGATTAGATTACTATTCTTGATAAAGTTGATATTTTATTAAGAAATCGTTATGGATTAAACGAATTATTCATATTAAGAGAGCAATTAATAATTCGAAATTAGAAAAATAAAAGCAAGAATGATACCTACTTAAAATGCTTTACTCTAAATGCAAGAACTATTTTGCCGCAATAGAATTAATACTATATCGAATGAGAGAATTACACTGTATCTTGGACTCGTGCATCTCTTTGTTTTCTCTTTACTATGACATATGTAATGAAAACTCGCAATAATATCCTTTTTCTAAGAAGAAAAGATTATAGCGAGTTAATATATGTTCTAATTTTTTTATAATACATATTTAAGTCGAAATGTCAAATCATGGTCAATGGAAAAAGTGAAAAATATATTAGGATCCAAGCGTCCAATAAAAACATCATAACTTACTAAATAACAACTTGTAAGAACACGTTAAGAATGAAACCCATGTAGTTTTAATACGAAAATAATAAGCAACATGTAATATCTTGTTAAGATACGACGAAACATGCACATAAATTCTTTCTTTGAGTTGATGTTTCCATTTTATAAATAAGATTTTAAGTTTCATCTTT